TTAAAAATATGTTTAGATGCTCTGATGCTAAGTGAATAAATATTCCAATTGTTATGTCTTCTTGATCAATCAATCCCTTGTTATATGACAACCTTCTTTTTTTTCTTGCGACAGTTTCTGACTTAAAGTCTGATATAAGTATAGCCACTGATGCTCTCCTTAGGTTACCATTTGCATGGAATATCTTTTCCCATTCCTTTTTTTTTCAGACTATGTGTGTCTTTAAAGCTAAAGCGTGTCTCTCATGGGCAGCATGTAGTCGGATCTTGTTTTTATTAAATTCATCCAGCCTGTCTATGTTTTTTAATTGGAGCATTTAATTCATTTATGTTTAAAGTAATTATCAATAGGTAAAAACTTATTGTCATTTTGTTCATTGTTTTTTGACCGGTTTGTAGTTTCTTTGTTTCTTTTCTCTCTTGATGTCTTCTTCCATGATTTAATGAATTTTTGGAGTGGTATGTTTTTATTTCTTTCTCTTTCATTTATTTACTACAGGTTTGTTTCTGTGGTTACCATAAGGCTTATATAAAACTTATTTTTTTTTCCAGACGGAGTCTCACCCTGTCACCCAGGCTGGAGTGCAGTGGCGTGATCTTGGTGTGATCACCGCAACCTCTGTCTCCCAGGTTCAAGCAATTCTTCTGCCTCAGCCTCCCAAGTAGCTGGGACTACAGGCACATGCCACCATGGCTGGCAAATTTTTGTATTATTAGTAGAGACAGGGTTCCACCATATTGGCCAGGTTGGTCTCAAACTCCTAACCTCGTGATCTGCCCAGCTTGGCCTCCCAAAGTGCTGGGATTACAGATGTGAGCCATCGTGCCCAGCCATAAAACATTTTATGGTTATAACATCCTATTTTAAACTGGTAACAACTTAACTTAGATCATATGCAAAAACTATACTTCACATTCCACCTGCCATTTTAGGTTATTGGTATAACAATTTACATGTATTTTGTATTGTTTATCCACTAACGAATTATTATAGTTATAGTTAATTTTAACACATTTGTTTTTTAGCTTTTATACTAGAGTTTAACGTCATTTATACATCACCATTACAATGTTAGAGAATTTGAAATTTGACTACAGATGTATCATTTTTTGTTTCACTTGCTGGTGTATCATAAGTCTTGTTGGTTTTCTTTATTCTTTTTCATTCCTTTTTTACTCCTCTGACTGAATAATTTCAAATGACATGTCTTTAAATTCACTGATTCTTCTGCTTGATTGAGTCTGCTGTTGAAGCGCTCTATTGAGTTTTTCAATTCAGACATCTTGTTCTTCGGCTCCAGGAACTGTTTTTTGGAGTTTTAAAAATGGTTTCTATCCCTTTGTTGAATTTCTTTTGTCCCAGTATTGTTTTCCTATTTCATTTAGTTGTTTGTTTTCTTGTGGCTCAGTGAACGTCCTTAAGAGAATTATTCTGAATTCTTTGTCAGTCAGTTCATAGAGCTGCATTGCTGTAGAATCAGCAAATTAATTTCTTTTAGTGATATAATGAAGAAACTCTATTTGTTTATTTGTAGAGATGGGGTCTCACTATGTTGCCTAGGCTGTTCTCAAACTTCCAGCTTCAAGTGATACTATTGCTTTGGTCTCCCAAAGTTCTGAGATTATAAGCATGAGCCACGTTGCCTGGCCCAAAACTCACTTTAAATATAAAGACATAAACAGTTAAGGAAGGTCAATGTGGCAGTCACAGAGGTTGAAAGCAATTGGTGATTCTTATAGTGGATGAGGATCACAGTTAAGCTAAGATACTTGTTGTGGAAATGGAGGAGAAGAGAAAGAGATTAAAGATATTAAGGAGGCAGAAGCTACAGGACCCAGTAACTGGTCATGAAGGGCGAGTGAGGCAGAAGTGGCAGGATAGACTCTGACATCCAACTTCCACATTGAGATAGAACCATTTCCTGGGATGGTGCATGTAATGAGAGGCACTCAGGATGTGCATTGCCTATGGCAATCCAAGCTAAAGTTGGACATGGTGTATGTGACTGTTTCTAGGCCCTTCCTAGGGGCTACTTTGTTTTGAACTTGCCTGCCAATTCAGATTATACCCATTCATTTTAGTCCTCTTGCCAGTCTACACAAGAGGCTCTCCTTACTGTGCCTAGGCTCAGCCCTGACTAGGTCCTGGGTGCCACATCTTGTTCCTAGATACCTCTACGAACAAGGGGTGCCACAGATTGTTCCTGGGTGCCACGGATTATTCCTAGATGCCTCTGGGCACCTTTTGCACTTGGGCTGGCCCAGTTGCAACTGCATCATCCACTGGCCATTGGTCTCGTTACATCAGTAGAGAGACAAGGCTTCTTCATTCTCCAACAGAGTGGATTTGACTTGAATGGTGGAAAGGTGGGAACTGCAGGGAACCAAAGGTGTGTCAAGTCCACCTGGCCTGCTGGCATCCTTGTGCATGAGATGGAAATAATTATTTAATCAGCTGATATGGATTTCTTTTAGGGAGGGAACTAACTGTTTAAGAAAATGTCTTGATAGATTACTTTGAGTGTGGAACAAGACAATTGAAACACAGTTCTCTTCAAGTAAAAAGTCAATGGGAAAGTGTTAGGTGGAGAAGGCAGAGGAAGGAGGAAAGAGAAGAGGGAAGAGAGAGGAAGAGGGAGAACTGAGCAGTACCAGGACTTGGGTGAGGCAAACAAGGTGTCTAAGGTGCAAAATTTAAGAAGGGGTTCACTCTCAGACTCACACAAGTACATGATTGTCATCTGAGAGTGAGTGCTGCCTTAAATTTGGTGACCTGAACTCCTGGCTCGCCTCAACTTACCCAGTCTTGGAGTTGAGAAAAACATCAGGGGGCTACTTCTGCAAAGACATGTAGCTAGGGAAAAATCTCCTGGTGGCAGGGGATAAAGGACTTTGAAAAACAAGGGGGTCTAATAACCAACCTCTAATTTGTTTGCTGTATAATTCTGTGATGTAATTCTTTCCCTCTGTTGCCCCCAAACCTTCAGTGAAATCTGTTTACTCACGATGGCTTCATGTGAGAGGTTTTGGGAGAAACCAAAGAGACAAGACTGTTCTGTACCTGGGCTGGCACAGAGCAGAAACAGCAGCCACTGGAAGCAAGATTTACAGAAGCTCCAGGGCCCGGCAGAACCAGGACTTCGAAGCCAGACATGACACTGGAAGTAACAGAAAATCGGAAAAGGTATGGGGCCTATTGGCATACATGAATCTAGTTTATTTTTAAAATAAACTTTAAATATTTTGGAATAATTATGGTGTATTAGTCGGTTCCCTCGAGGGACAGAACTAATAGGGTAGATGTATACATGAAAGGGAGTTTATTAAGGGATAGTGACTCACACGATCACAAGGTGAAGTCCCACAATAGGCCGTCTGCAAGCTGAGGAGCAAGGAAGCCAGTCCAAGTCCCAAACCTCAAAAGTAGGGAAGCTGCCAGTGCAGCCTTCAGTCTGTGGCCAAAGGCCCGAGAGCCCCTGGCAAACCACTGGTACCCTGGCAAACCACTGGTATAGACTCAAGCTGAATCTCTATCAAAAGCTGAAGAACTTAGAGTCTGATGTTCAAGAGCAGGAAGCATCCAAAACATGAGAAAGAGGAAGGCCAGATGACTCAGCAAGTCTGATCCTTCCAACTCCTGCCTGCTTTATTCCAGCCGTCTGGCAGCTGATTAGATGGTGCACACTCAGATTGAGGGTGGGTTGGCGTCTCCTAGTCCACTGACTCAAATGTTACTTTCCTTTGGCAACACCCTCACAGACACTCCCAGAAACAATACTTTGCATCCTTCAATCCAATCAAGTTGACAATATTAACCATCACATATGGATTTACAGAAAAGTTGTAAAGAAAATAAAAAGGATTCCTGTTTATACTTCATCCATTTCCCTGAATGTTAACATCTATGTCCATGGCATGCTTGTCAAAACTAAGAAATTAACATTTCTTGGTACATTATAGAACCTTTTTGGATTTCACCAGTGATGCCCCTAAAGTGCTATTCTAAGAGTCAATCCAGGACCCTAAACTGCACTGAAAGCCGGATGCACTTAACTCTTACAGGGAAGTGACTGCAGTTTGGTCATAGTGGCTTTGGTATATTAAGTGAAAGGGGGAAAAAAGATTTTTTGTTGTCGCTGGGCACAATGGGGGCAATTTTACAGAGGAGAATTGACAGCCTCTGCTCAAAGGCCCTTGCGCACTTTTCTCCTGGGCTAATGGAATCCCTTCCAGATTTCTCTTTTACCCTACACCTGTGTCCCAAGGGGAGAGACACAACGAATGCATCTGTTTTGCCAGCACCACAGTACAGACCACCTGAAATTTTAGCAACATTTTTACTTGGAAAAGGCCACTAACATTTATTCAGCACCTCCTCTTTGTTAGGCTAGGTACTTTACAGCTGTACTATGAGGCAGGTATTGTTAGTGTCCCATTTTATAGATGAAAAACCAGACCCCAGAGATGGAATAAGTTGCCCAGGATTATACCACTCTAAGTTTTCTAAGTTCCTTATAAAGTGGTACAGCCAGGGTCAGGACCCAGGCAGTCTTTGAAACTGGGGATCTGGTACAGCCTAAGCTTGTCCTTCCTAGACATGAACAACACCTGGCAGGTTTCAGGCCAGCAGGAGTGGTTTCTTCTGTAGTTGATAGTGTCACAGTGTTTAATTAGATGATTTGTAACTCATGAAGTTGATGTCACCCAAATGGCTTCAGGAATCTGGACACATGAGGGTGGCTTCCTGAGAAGGGAACACTTGGGAGGGGGCAGAGCCTTGACAGTCACCTGCTTCCTGTCCACATCACACCCAGGTTGCCAAGAGCAACCCTGGGAGTGGTCCCGACCGAGCCTCCATGCCGGTTTCTGACTCCTGTGTGCACAATGGTTGGATTGACGTGGATGCTACTGTTCTAAGAATGGCATAAGCTTTGGGTCCGTCTTAGAGGAGGAGTTTATGGAGGAAGATTCTGGTGGCTTGGGCCAACGTTCTTCCCTTACCAGATTTCCGGGGGCCATCCTTGAGGTAGCTGCAAGGGACCATGCTGAAGCGCTTTCCCTTTTGCTCCACTCCGTAGAGCCTTCGGTAGGAGGTGGTGTCCCAGTCCTTCCTGAACCTCTTTCCTAACGCCTTTGAGGAAGCAAGTGAGAAGTCACACCCTGGTTACAGGACCTGGCTCCCCCACCCCGCCCATCGCAAGAAAATGAGCAGCAATTTCAAGGGTTTGCTGAAAGGCAGGCAAAGGCGACCAGAGAGAGCTGCCCTGGCCCTGGGAGAGGTCAGAGGGGCAAGTTCTGCCCATGGGCACTTGCTCACCAGTGCCTCCCTCTTCTCCCGGCCCTATCTCAGAGGGTTCCCGGGGGCCCTGGAAACACAGGCCCTCGGAGGCCATTAGGTCTGGGTAGGGCTGCCCTGCTGGCCAGGAGGCTCCTGTCCCTCACTGAGCCACGGTGTTCTCATCTTCCAGGAGGCCTTCATGAATAGTTTGGGGGGATAAATGTGGGCAAGGGAGGATGTGTCACTTGTGAGGGATGAAACTACGGAGAGGCAGCGACTGGGTGGCGCAGCTGGAAAGGGTGGGAGATTTCATTTGCGTGTTAACGTGGAGTCAGAGTGAATTTCAGGGCCTTAAAATTTAAAAAGTAGTCAGACGTCATGCAGGAGAAAAGCGGGGACCCGTCCTCCATTTGGAGACGGGGGTGGGGGTTGTGGGGTGGTGGGGATTGGGGGGTGGCGCCGCGTTACCTGCTTGGAAGGCTCCGCTGCCTTGCGGTTCTCTCCTGGTGCCTTCATGATACCTTTGCCATTCTGCTCTTCCTTCTTTTCATTTCCTTCCAGGCCTGTTACCACTTTGGGCTTTTGCTTCTGAAAAGACAAGGGAAGAGAGCGGTGAAGCCACCCCTGTGGGGACAGCGTCGCCTCCATTCCCCCGAGGAAAAGGCTCCCTGGTGAGGGGCTGCCCCTCCCCTTGGCGGGCTTCAGCACACACACTCTAGGGCCCATCCTCACTGCCCCTCTGCTTCCGAATGCGCCCTGTATCCGTGTCTCCGCCGGCAAAGCGACGTTCTAAGCCTCAGGCCTGGTCCTGTCCCTCTCCACCATCAGGGGCTCCCCTGCCACCCCACATAAGGGCCTCACTCCCTAGCCTGGTAGGAAGCCCCTGCAGCCCCCACGTGGCCTTACCAGCCTGACTTCCCTGCCCCTGCCTCCAGCCTGGAGCCGCAGGAAGGCGGCCCTGATTTCCAGCAGGTGCTGCCAATCCAGACCTCAGGGCCTTTGCTCAGCCCGAGTCTCCTTGAGTGGTGGTCACCACTGACCTTGCCTTTCTCTTTCCCCAGGTATTCCTTACCACCCACCCAGGAGCTGAGCACATGCTGCCCTAAATGGAGTTCCTTGTGCATGGCCACGTCCCTGGCCCTCCTGATCACACAGTGAAGGCAGGGAGGGCAGGGTCATTAGGGATCTTCAGGGTCCCACAGTGCAGGAGCCCATCAGGGGAGCATAAACGGTGGGCCACCCAGGAAGCATCCCACCTAGTCTGTAAGTGTTAGGGGTGAGTGCCAGAGCATCATGAGAGAAACTAAATAGACTAGATCTCCTCTGGGAATGTGCTGCTTGTGGTTATGTGGAGAAACCGGCCTGGGCTGCAGTCTCCAGGTCCCACCGCCTGGATTCCTGCTCTATCCATGGCTGAGGGCTGAATGACCTTGGAAAGCTTCTGGTCTCTCCGTGGCTTAGTTTCCTTGTCTGAAAGGTGGGGCTAATATTAGGACCTACTTCATAAGGTTACTGAGGGCAATAACTGAATTACCGCATGCACCTGCAATGCCCTCCATGAATTATGGGGGGGCAGATTATTATGCAGAGTGGGAGGAAGAGAAGTTTCGATAAGCCATTTGGGAGTGTGGCAGGAAGCTGTCCAAGGGCCTGCTCCACGTTGCAAGTTGCCTTCTAAGGAAGGTGATGCTGGTTAGCTTCAGGGTTTTGTTTAGCTTAGTGGAGAAACAGCACAACTCAGAGCCAAGGCTGCATTTTCAGGCTGTGAGGAGCTGGGATGAGCCATCTCCTCCAGGATGGCCCCTTCCACCAGCCCCCACTCAATCCTCAGCCTCCCCCAAGGTGTCACCTGAGTAGCTCCCCACAGAGGCCAAATTTTGGGGAAAACGAGCAGAATTGACATGGCAATGCCTCAGACTCAAGGAAGCTGCAACATTCACAGGTTTAGCATCCTCCATGGCTGAGACTTCAAACCTCAGGGATCTTCACTGGTGCCAAATGGCTCACAAGGGGAAATACACAGGGGAAATACTATGAGCAGCCTGTCGGGGGAAAAGCCTGGATGGCCAGGCCGGACCCCAGGAGAGAACAGAGGAGGCCACAGAGGAAGCTGAGTGGTGCAGATAGACCCCGACCATTTTATTAGAGGGTCCCCTGCCACCTGCTGCTGTCTGAGACCTGTCAGGACACGTCATCCTTCTCTTAGAAGCTTCTTTAAAAACCCAGATGCTTCTGAGAATGGTAATGATGCTTGATGACTTAATTATATTTCCCATGAAAATTTGCTCCCTCTCTAGGTCCAAAGTTATTTACAGTAAAGCCACATTTAAGATAAAGCTGTTAAAATGTGATTATTAGAATCTTATCCTAGTGAAAAGAGATAGAATCTGAACATATTAACCATGGAAGTGAATGTAATTCCTGTGATTGATATTAAAGTGGGTTTGGAGAGACCCAGAAGTCAAGCTTCCTGTTTGACCTCAAATCAGGGCAGTGAGTAGGCTACCTGAAAATCATTAGCATCTTAGAGTAAAATATGTTTGTCAGATGTGTCTGATGGAATTGGCACTCAAGATCTTTCTGACTATAAATGATAAGCGATATGGTTTGGATCTACGTCTCTCCCCAAATCTCATGTCAAATTGTAATCTCCAGTGTTGGAGGTAGAGTCTGGTGGGAGGTGATTAGCTCATGGAGGCGGTTTCTCATGGTTTAACACCACCCGCGTTGGTGCTGTTAGGAAAGTGAGAGTTCTCATGAGATCTGGTCATTTAAAAGTGTGTGTGGCACCTTGTCCTCCCACTTCTTGCTCTGGGAACATTGAAGAAACAAACTCCTGAGGTGGGTACCGTCCAAGAGAAACTACAGGAGGCTTTATTCAAGACAGTTGCAGTAGGGGAGAGAGATTGAACTTGACTCTCCGCTTTTGCCTTCTGCCATGATTGTAAGCTTCCCAAGGCCTCCCCAGAAGCGGAAGCCCCTGTGCTTCTTGTACAGCTGGCAAAACTGTGAGCCAATTAAACCTTTTTTTAAAAAACAAATTCCCTGGTCTCAGATATTTCTATGTAGCAGTGTGAGAATGGACTAATACAGTAAGTAAGCACATAAACAGAATGGAAGCTTTCCCCAAAGGCAGGTGCTGACATGGATAAAGCAGAGGAAGTGGAGGCAGTTATGGGGAGTTGGCCTAAAAAAGCCCATCCATTCGGAAATTAGATAAATCTCAGTTTGAGCCCTGGCTCTGCCCTTTATTATTTCTGTGACCTCAGGAAAATGACTTATTTTTACTTTACTTATTCTTCAACTGGGGGTAAAAATGATGCCTCCCTGGTAGCCTGCCTGGTAGCAATTGACCGCATAACCCAGGTCGATGCTAAGCATAGGACTTTGACCACAGTAAACGTTAAAAGTCCGTGATGTGATGAACGTTGCCAATAGTAATGGTGTTTTTCACTCATTTTGCTCTAGGGTCAGGAGATTCAAGATCAGGTGGTATCTTCTGCAGAGGACATCACTTTCCAAAGACATGGCTTTGTTTTTCATAGATGATGGGTCTTTGGGGAGCTCTAGGGAAACTGAGGCAAACTTGGTTGCTATGGTTCTTGGAGAAAGAGATAAGGGCAGGTTAGAACTAGCTTGATGTAGGGTTAAAAAGAGGAGGTATGTTAGCTGGAGTCACAGTTGCAGTAATGGCAGTGAGGAATCGATGTTCTTTGACTCTGAAGGCATCATAATGTTGGGAACAAACACTTTCTCTTCAGAGTTTCATCCCCTTTGTCCTTTTATAAGTAATCTTTCCTGCCTTTAACACGCCCAGGCATACCTCCATCCACCAAGTTTGCAGCTGACCCACACCACTTTACTTTACGTTGTTAAGCACAAACAATACACTTCCTGGTTCTTTGTCCTATTCTAAATGCTAATTCTAGCCTAAGGAGATCACTTTAGATTGTGAGGTCTGACTTCAATTAACAGGGGGAGGATACAGATTGAGGGGTGGCATTAGAAATAAAAACTCCTGCTTTCCTTTATTCAATGTGCTCTTGTGATTGTGACTGACACAGGCAGCACACTTCTGCAGAAGTAAAATTGCCTTGCTGAGAAATTTTCGGTTGAAGTGCTAGTTCTTCTTGGTTGCAATGAGCACCTGTTTCCAACAACAAGCAGGGAAGTAGCTGAGGGCAGTAGGAGGATCCCATCCTGCAACACGGAGACCCTGGCAGCCACTGCCCCTTGGCCCTTCTAGAATCCTGACCAATAGTAACATTTTCCCGGCTTGACTAAACTTTAGACAGGTTTCTTCCTGACGATAGGCCACTGGCCTACTTTTTCTTAGAACATTTCCTTTAGAAAACTTGCACATGTAAATTTTTTATCTGCCCCTTTGAGATACAAATCTCTTAGCCTCTTGTTAGTTTTGTAATCCAGGAATGTTTTTCTCAAGGACCCAGAAGGTCCCTTTGAAATGGAATCAACAAGAAAGATTGCACCCCTGTCTCTCAGTCTCTGTGAGAGGATGGGAGCCTAACTTTGATAAGCGCAAATTAGCAACACAGACGGCCTAATTATATTAAGTAACCTGCCGTTAAGGTCCTTGGGCACTTCTCCACTAGCTTATCCCAGCACTTTAAAACCATCCTGCCTTTTGTTTCAGGAGAGCCAAGTTCAGTCTCTCTCCCCTACTGCAACTGTCTTGAATAAAGTCTCCTGCAGTTTCTCTTGGACAGTACCCACCTCGGGAGTTTGTTTCCTCTTCCCCTGCCTCCGCTCTAGCCACTCCAGCACACGAGTGAGGTCAGACATGCGCCTCTCCTCGGCAGTCTTCCACATAGATTTCCTCTCTGTGGGCATTAAATTCTTTAGGTCCATGGGTTGCTCTGACATTGTGGAGTCTTGCTAGTGCCTTGGGTGGGAGGCAGTTGGCACTCTCGCACTCTCTTGATCCCTCTGTCTGGACTTGATGGCCTGGTGACTCAGAAGGTAGGGTGTGGCTTCCAGATGTGAACATAAAGGGCAGAGTGAGCCAAGACACTGGCATATTGGCCTTAAAGGATGGACGGCCTGGGAAGTGATTGTGAGGTCATTGCCTGGCTTGGTGGCTGGCTCTGGGGTCAGAGTAGAGGTGGGACGTTGGCCACTGCCCCTTTTCAGGTACTATGTCTCCTCTGGACTCTGCCACAGCCTCCTTGCAGCCTCTCCATCTCCACTCCATAGAGATCTTACTAAAATAAAGGGCAGCCCATGTGTCTTACTTTCTCAAAAATCTTCAATGTTCCCTGTTGCCTATTAAAAAAAAACACACCTAAATTTCTTGGTTTGGCATCCTGTCCTTTCTACAGTGTATTCTAATTACAAGAAAGCTTTTTATAAGCCCAATTCATCTCTGTTCATTTATTCATCCAACATACAGTTATCAGACACCTACTAAGTGCTGGGGATACAATGCAGGAGAAAGACAAAGGCAGACCTCCTAAAACATGTGGCCTAATGGAAAAGACAGGGCAGATAATTATCGAATGACTCCATAATGACAGGTGAAGATGGGTGCTCTCAAAGAAACGAATGCAATTCTATGAAAGGCCATGGCAATGGAACTAGACTTGGATAGGGTGGTAGGTGGGCCATCGTTGAGCTCTGGGCTAGAGAGTAAATTGACTTCAACAGGGCTGCTGTGGTCTAGACAGTTGTGTCCTTCTAAAATTCATGTGTTCAAATCCTTATCCCCAAGGTGATGGTATTAAAAGGTGGGGCCTTGGGAAGTAATTAGGTCATAAGGGTAGTTCTCTCATGATTGGCATTGGTGCCCTTGCAGAAGAGACTGGAGAGAGTTCCACCATGTGGAGATGTAGGAGAAGGTGTCACCTATGAACCAGAAAATGGGTTCAGCACACACAGAATCTGTCAGAGCCTTGCTTTTGGACTTTCTAGCTTCAAAACTGTGAGAAATAAATGTTGTTTATAAGCTACCCACTTTGTGGTATTTTGTCATAGGCCTAAGTGGATTAAAACAAGGGCTTTGGACCAGAGACGTATGCTTATGCAAAGGCCCTGTGGCAGGTGGGAAGCATGACACTAACAGCAGAAGGTGAGGGTGGCTGGAGTACCAGGAGGTAAGAGGCGACGGTACAGAGGTGGGCAGAGGCCAGGCCACACAGGAACTTGGTGGCCACAGGCTCAGCTTAGACTGAGAAGGGAAAGGGAGCAAAAGGAAAACAATAAAGGAATTCAAAGAAAGGGGAGGGAGTGGCATGGCCAGGCTTCCCTTTTTTGCTCGAGTAAACTTCTATTGAAGGAAATTATGTATACAGAAATGTGCTAGAATCACAAATGAAGATATCTAAGTAAACAGTACCCTAAAATCTCCCCTACAGCCACTGGTAGTTATTACTTCCCTCCAAGGGTACGCATCATCTTATCATCCAATTCAAACTTTTTCTGCCTGTTTTTGAGTTTTATGTAAATGAAATAAAATACATGTAGTATTTTACATCTGGATTTATTAAATTTGCAATCTATTTGTAAGATTTTAGAAATAACAAATTATTTTGTCTTTGTTTATGTGGTAATGTCTTCATTTTACCCTCATTCTTGAAGAAAGATTTTCTGGATCATGGAACTCTTGGTTAACAGTCTTTTCAACACTTTGTACATGTCGTTTCATTGCTTTTAGCCCTCCATTGTTTTATATGGGAAGTCGGCTGTTAATCGTATTGCTATCTCTTGTAGTAATGACATTTTTCTCTTGCTTGTTTCTCTCTTTGTTTCTGTCTTCTGACTGCTTGCTATGATGTGTTTAGGGGTGGATCTCTACATATTTGTCCTACTTGAGGTTTACTGAATATTTTGGATATGTGTTTAATGTTTTTTTTTGAGTCAAATTCTGAAATTTTTTGGCCATTTTTTTTCCCCATATGTTTTCTGTTCCTTTCTTTCTATTTTCTACTTCTGGCTTTCCCATTATACATCTGTTGGCTTGATGTTGTTCCACTGGCTCCTAAGGTTCTGTTTATTTTTCTTCAATCATTTTTTTTCTCTCTGTTCCTCAGATAGATACTTTCTATCACTCTGTCTTCAAGTTCATGGATCCCTTCCTCTGCCATATATAATCTGCTGTTATAGGTCTTTACATAAAATTTTAATTTAAGTTATGCTTTTCAACACATTTCCATTTCTTTCCTTATCATTTCTATCTCTTTATTTAGAATCTTTCCCTGCTGACTCTTTATTATCATAATTTTATTTAAAAATTTAAACAGTTTTTTGAACATATTTCAAATAGCTATTTGAAACCTTTGTTTGCTAAATACAGAATCTAGGGAAACTCAGAGACAGGTTTTACTATCTGCTATTTTCCTCAGTATGTGTCACACTTTCCTGTTTCTTTGCATATTTTGTAAATTTCTATTGCAAACTTGGCATTGAAAATATTGTGATGGATATGTTAATTGATATATAATGATAAGGTGCTCAAACACCTTAAATGTGTAAAGCCATCTGTGATCTGCTGATGAATCTATGTGTGGGTAGGGGAGCTGTATAGTTATCTTATTGCTGTTTAATGTTATCTCAAAGTTTAGTGGCTTAAAACAAGAGTATGTTATCACAGTTTTTGTGGGTCAGAAATCTGGGTGTGCCTTAGCTGGGTTCTCTGATTCAGGAAACACTCATTGTGGTGGCTAGGTTGCAGTCATCTGAAGGTTTGAATGGGGAAGGATCCTCTTCCACATACGTCATGTGATTTGTGGCAGGATTGAGTTCCTTGCAGGCCATTGAACAGAAAGCATTACTTCTTTGCTGGCTGTTGGCAGAAGGCCAGCTTTTATTCCCCGTGACATGTGCCTTTTCATAGAATAGTGCATGACATGCAGCTTGCTTCATCAGCACAGCAAGGGGGAAGAACCAGAGACAGAGTGAGAGCAAGGCAAAAGTCAGTCTAACCTTGGAAATTACATCCACCATTTTTGCCACATTAGAATATGATTTACTGGAAGCAAGTCACTATGTCAGCTGCACCCAAAAGGAGGGGATTACACAGGGCACTAATACTGAGGGGAGCATTAATGGGAGCCATTTTACAAACAGCCTACTATAGGAACACATTCAAACTTCAGGACATTTTCATGCTTTCTCTATCTTTCGCTTTCTAGTGGTCTCTTTCTCATCTCCTTTGTGTATCTGTGCAGCCTCAGAGTTGGCCAGCAGAGTCTGGCTAGACTGGGCCCTTGATGGTTTCTGCTGTGCAAGCATGTGGCTTTAGCCAGAAACTTTTGCCCCAGTCATGGCAACAACCTCAGTCTAAAGGACCTTTTGGTCCTCCTGCTTTTCTGCCTTGGTAACTTTTACTTAAACCAACATGGCTGCCAAGAGGGGATGTTGCCCAGTGCTCTAAGTTAAGTAAGCTCCCTTTAACCATAGCAGAGAAACTGCCCCTCCTCCCAGTCCACCCCACCCAGAGGAGCCTCCTTACTGACTTAGCTAGGAGCAGGAGATGGGAGCAGCTTTAGGCTAGAATGCCACAGATTCTCACTGTTACTCAGATTTCTGTAGCTCTCAAGCATAAATGTTGCTCTAACTGTTGTGTGCCTTTGGTTGATTTCCAGAGTGCTGCATGATGGTTTTAATCAATTTTGTTGAGCTTTATAGTTGCTTTTGGGGGAGAGGATTTATTGTTTCTTTACTCAGCCATAGACAATGTCCCTTGCTAATGCCCTTTTATACCCTCTTTGCTATTTGTAAATAAAATTCATGTAAAACTTATTTGCATACATACATTTTTAAAAGATTGCTATAATCCTCTAAACTAATATAAAAAAGAAAATTTTTAAAATACAGTCTCCCTTTGGATGTATTTAATTATTATAATGTCTGGTCACAACTAAAATAATAATAATTTAGTCATTCCACAATATATCATCATGTTATTTATTATTAGCATATACAGCTTTATTTGCCAATTTAAAAATATTGTAGCAAATTTGGATTATGATTTTCCCCTAAATAGAATCTTAGGATCTCTATTTTTATGTTAACGCTGGTCAGTTGTGTTGACCAAAAACAGAAAACTCTATATTTAAAGAGGTTTATTCTGAGCCAATATGAGTGACCATGGCCCAGGGAACAATCTCAAAAGATCCTAAGAACATGTGCCTGAGGTGGTCAGGTTAGTTTGGTTTTATACGTTTTAGGAAGACAGAAGATATAGGCAAAGGCATAAATCAATACATGTAAGATATATATTGGTTCGACCCAGAAAGGTGGGACATATTGAAGCAGTGTGGGGTGGTGCTTACAGGGCATAGGTGGATTGAAAGATTTTCTGATTAGCAATAGGTTGAAAGAGTTAAGCTAAAGTGTGGAAGTCAAGGTCCTTGTTATGTAGATGAAGTCTCCAGGTAGCAGGCTTCAGAGAGAATAGATGGTAAATGTCTCTTTGTAGACCTTAAAAGATATCTGACTCTTAGCTAATTTATTCTAGATCAGGGAAAGGCCTGCTGCGTTGAGATTCTTTACAGATGCAAACTTTCCCCTACAAAAGATGGCTTTGTAGGGCCATTTCAAAATATGTCAAATAAAAACCTCTTGGGATAAAACAGTTTAATTTCCTTTGGGGTCTGCTATCTGTCATGTGATGCTATATCCGTGTCAGGTTGGAATTTGGTATCTTATTGCTAAAGAGTCTGTTCTGTGAAACTTAGAATCTCTATTTTAATGTTAATGCTGGTCAGTTGTGCCTAAACTCCATAAGGGAGAGACTATACTGAGGCGTATTCATTCTTCCTGTTTGTCAAGTCCAGGAATTCAATTTTCAGGTGTTTTTTTGTCCCAGAGAGGTCTGTATAGTGAATTAGGGGGACTTAGGATTTTATTTTTGGCTTACAATTGTAATCCGCCCAAATTTCCTAAATGCTCCTTAGGGAATGGTACAACCCCACTGAAAACTAACAGCATAATCAAAACTGTCTAGACTCTGTTTCTGCAGGTCTGGTGGGGGGCAAATTCTGTTTTGAAAATTTTCCATGG